AGGAGTTCTTCCTTCTCCTGCCCATCTATCTCTGTCTCATCTGGAGATTGGCAGCTGGCTTCTTCAGGAAGTTAATTTGCAAAGATTTGTTGAGAATTTAACTTGTTACTTTACACCAAAGAGCAAACTTTTTTAAAAAGAAACCAGAATGATTTCACAAAAATTTTCAAAAGTAAACAAAAATGAATGAAACAGAGGAAGAGCACACTTGAAAGGATTTAAATTCTAATAAAGAATTATGGAATATTGTATCTTGAATAAATGACTTCATCTTGTTCCATATGTTTAGAGTGCCAAGGCATTGGGCAAATCCAGCAGCCAGATTTGCATATAAAAAGTGTATTTGTCGTTCATAAAAGCACCTTTGGAAGAAAATTTTTAAATTAAAAATGAAAACCTAGTCTGCAAAAAAAAAAAAAAAAAAAGACCGGCAAAACACCAATTTACTTTGAGAAAGTATAATACAATTCAAAATGAGGCAGGAGAAAAAGGCTTTAAAAGATGTAAAAGTAAATTGTTCTTTGTTTCTTTAGACTCAAACTCACTGAATATAGTAACGAACAGTCCTAACTGCCACTAAGCTTACTGACAAAATGCCGCTCAATAAACACCCACTGATGATGCTAAAAATAAGATATTTGGAAAGAAAGTAACATGATAGATGCACACAGTTTTGAACCAAATATATTCTTCCACCTGAAAGAACTTGATATCCGAAGCAGAAAATAATATTGAGTAAATTAACATACTCTGTCCCCAGATAATTTTGTTTCCTCATATCCATAGCTAAAACTGTAAACTGCCCTCTAGAAATGTTTATTTGAATCTATAAATGACTCTTTTATTACTTAGCTACTCAAAGTAATTATGATATGATAATAAGTGATATTTTAGGTTCTTTTTGAAAACAATGCATTCTGATAATACTATACAGAATTAAAAACCCAAAGTACAGAAACTCTTCTGACATGACTTTCTTTACTTGCTCAGTTAGATAGTAGCAGTGAAATATTTGAAGTTCACTGCTAAGTCAAATTTGACTTAAAGTTTAAAGTCAAATCATCATTATCAAATATGGAATGTGAATACAACAGATTTGATTTTTTTAAATGCACCTATAAGGCACAACAATAATCTAGTCACATAGAAAGTAATGAAGCATACTGAAATTTCTTCTGTGAATGTAGATGATGGAAAACCTAGAACCCCTTTGCCTTAGAAAGATTCTACCCACTCCAAAGTAAAATAAACCCCCACCACTTGGATTTGGTCATTCCAGTGACAGCTATGTGTTAGCTTGTCCTGCTTCTTACTTATTTCCATTTTATTATGAGGTCAAGAACCGGCTCACTGTGGAGATCACATTTAAGGTGACACATGCATAATAAGAAGTGTCAGCAATAAGGCCACATCGGCAGTAGGGAGTGGTAGACAGAAAGAGAGAGACGGTCAGAAAGGCCAGTAAAGTCCAGACCATGCACAGCTTCAGGGCCAGGTGAGGAATAGGAAACTATTGGCAGATTTTAAGCAGGGGAGTGTCATGATCTAATGTTTCCAAAAGACCACTCTATCAGGAGTGTGGTGGAGTGAGTGGATGTGGGAAGAGCAGTTAGAAGACTATTCAAGTGATTTCGGCAGACGTGATGGCAGTCGTGTGATGAAGACCAGGAGATGACCCCGGGATATATTCTGGAGTTGTATCTGATACGGCATACTGATGGATTGGGGTGGGGTAGCAGTAAGCCAAATAAGACTCAAGGCTGCCTTGGGATTATTTACCGAATTGAGGAAAGGCTGTGGGAAGAATACTGGGGATAGGAAAAAATGTAGGGCTGAAGCAAGAGTCCAGTTTTGGGTTATATTATCCTTAGAATGTCTGTGATATATCCAAGTGGACACATCAAGGAGGAAGTTGGATCTAAAAATTTGCAGCTTAATGGAGAGGTCGGTGCTGGATTTATAAATTGAGTAGCCATCAGGTTATTGCTAATATTTAAAGCTACAAAACTGGATCCAGGTTGAGAGTGTGGCTGAAGTACACCTAGAACCCAGCCTTTGGGCACCACTGAGAGTTTGGAAAGAGAAGGCCATCCAGCAAAGAAGACTGAGGTGCCCCAGTGTGGGGGAAAACCATAGAACACGGCATTTTGGAAGTTGCAAGCACAGAATGTTCAAGAAGATGAGAGTGTTCAACTCTGTCAAATGCTGTGAAGACATAAAGCAAGCTGGGAACAGAAACATAACTATTAGATGTGGTAAAAATAGGGGTCATGAGTAGCCCTAACACAGGATATCTGTAAGTATGAGGGCTGGAAACCTATTTAGAGTCAACTGAGGCAAAAATGAAAAGTGAAAATATTAAGACAGCACTTCTGCTGGCTGTGAAGGGTAGAGAAAAATGGGATAAAACCTGGAAGGGGATAAGTTGTCAAGAAAAAATTTGAGTAGAAATGAATACCAGTGAGATTGATTCAATGAAAAAGGAAAAATTGAAGGTGTAGGAGAGAAACAAATGTAGCTGCAGGAGGAAGTCTTGGAGTAGGTGAGAGGGGATAAAATGCAGAGCACAAGAAGAGGGACCAGGCTTAGATGACAGTAGGAACTTTTTACCCATCACATTGTGAGGAAAGTCACAGAGTATGAGTTTGCACATAAGTCGGGTGGTATATTTTGGGGTACATGATGAGAGGTCATTTTGAAACTAGACATAGAACATACGCATATTATGTGATAGCAAAGCCAGTGTACATCAGCTGCATTAATGAGTATACACAAACGTATCAATCACCATCTTAAAGACAAATAAGGCAGTACAGAGAGGGATTTGAGGATATGTTTTAGACATTGCTTTTGCCTGATTTGATTCTTCGGTTTCTACCCATTACATCTTCATATACTAAAGATCTATGACTTAGCAGTTGGATAATTTTATAATGCTACCAGACAGGGAGCCAAACTCAAAATCTATCTCCCTTGAGAAGTTCTATCCTATTGTCTTAGTCTTCTCTGATTGTTTCTTGACCTCTAAGCTGCACCTCACAGTACAGTTGGCACTGAGTCATTTCATGTTTGTCCCTTGCTCATAGACCTTATTGTCTCAAATAGATGTTAAGCTTCCAGGATGGGGCCAAGTATTCTACAATAAAATATCATTGTCTCTCCCACTGTGAAAAACCTAGTGTTAGATATAAAGTGAGTACTTAATAAGTGATTGTTGTTCAATTTATCTTTTTAGAGTTGAATGGCTATAAAGTTTTATGCAGTAATTCCTTGGCTAACAGACTATGCATAATTCCTCATGGCACCTGCAGGGCATTACTGGGAGATGCCGAAATCATTCATCACTTTTCTCCTTTTTATGCTATTCAATTAGTCTGTCTAGGGCAAAGTCTAGTATGTGTATCAATCAAAAGCATAATAATGACCTGTGTACAAGTAATCGCCATGCCAATGATTTGCATCTACCATCTTACAGAAAGAGCTTTAGTCTAAGGAGGCACTGAAGTGAAGTAAACTTTAAGAAGAATATTGTAGTAAGGACTGATAATTACCCAGTGTTACTGTTGTCAATAGTGTACAGATGAATTTGAAATCAATTTGGCAATATCTTTAGTGGAAAAATAATATTAAGAGAATACTCATCACCATAGCCTATTTTGCACTGTCTTAGATAAAACTTTTCTTCAGCCTGCACTGAAAGCTTAAATGTCAGTAGACTTTTAGTATATGGACTTTTGGTTTGTTGAAATTATGTGTAGCATGTTTAATTTTTAATTTAATTCCAATTCTTAAGCCCATTAAAACTATTTGGATATAATATTTGATCAGAATGTAAATATGGCATATATATTTTTTCTTTTAAGATGCAGTTGTACTATCATACAATATTGACCTTTAATTTTATCTAACAGGTTATCACGGAAAGTTAAAGATTTAATCATCAGAATAGCATTTAATCAAAAGTCCCACATGCTATACACATAGTAGTCTACAGGGCTCTGCAGAAGTGAGTGATTACTGCTACTGTAAAATTTTGTCATTCTATAAAGTAGTCATTGACAAAATAAATGACTGTGTTTTTCCATGTTATATGCAAATTGACAAAGATAATACTATCTGATAAAAAGGAAAACACCAAGAGACTTAGAACTTTAGAACATATGAAACCTACACCAAAATATCATTAGCAACATTTCTTCAGAAGAATCCCATAGCATTAGACATTAATAGATAGAATCTTTTAAAAATATTTGTGGCGTGAAATATTTTAATCGAAACAATGATTTCCATAAGATGTGTGTACATTTACAAGATTTCCACTTTTCAATACTTACATGAAAAGATCTGACGCTCTTTTCTAACTATAGGTAAGAAATATTAAACCTGTTTGGCTATTATTCTAGGTTTCTATTCATTTCTCACTAGCCTACATTGATTTTTGTACTGCTTTTATTCATCCCATAAATTAGTTTCTAACTGGTGATAAAATGTCAACGTTTGTGTTGCATCTAAGAAATAAATCTAGACAATTTAGACTTATTTAAAAATTAACCAATAAACTATGATCCATTGGTTCTTTTCGTGAGTGCTCGGGTGGAAGTGAGACATATTAGTACATTAGTAAGGTGTCTCTTTTTCTTTAATCACCAGGAGAAAAGATACATAAATCTTTTTCTTAAAGCTTTTTTCTTTCCCATGGAGACAACACACCTTAAAATGAAGGTTAATAAGCAATTAATAGCACAGACTTAACTAAATATTGCAAATGTGATAGTATAATATCTTGGTAAATATGGGAATTTTTCAGAGCCATAAAATTAAAGACTTTGATATGTGTGAGATCAATAGACATGACTTATCACTATTTAATATGAGCTTTAATTTTTAAATGCCATGCTCCAATGAAAAAGTATATTACACAGGAAAATTGAAATTTCAATAAAGAATCAAGACAAAAGAAACAAACTTTATATTAAAGTACCTTTAAAGGTTATACTTACGCAGCAACCTCCTCTTTTGACAATCCTTTGAAATTCACCTCTAGATAATGATCTACGTCATCTTTTTCTTTGATCAATTGAGACCTAAATGAAATGGAAAGCAACAATAAAGTACTGCCTTATCAGGTTGAAAAGCTACCAAACATATGAAATGCCACCAGGAGAACAGAAATATTCAGGGTATAATACCATACACAATAAACGCAATAGCTATAGAGTGAGGTTGCTGGTGGATAATTTCAAATTTTTATCTTTCCTGAATGGAAAATGATAGGGAAGAATATTCAACCCAGTATGTAAACAAATAAAATACCAACACCTTGAAATAATTCACTTTCTACTGAAGAGTATTCTCCTCAAAGCTTATAAGATCTTCCATTTTGCTCACATTGTTTCACAGTATAACTTTCCAACTGCTGAAGTTATACATTGTTTGGCACAGAATCCTGAACCAAGAACACCTGTTTGATTCAAATGTGTGACATGAATTTGTTCTAAACATTACTCAATTTTGTCCTGAAATGCTCTTCGAATACATATATATATATATATATATATATATATATTCCTGCTGTTTTCCTGCTGGGCTGTTTTCCTGCTGGGCTGTGGCTCCGTGAGCCCAGGTCTGGGGAAGGTGCTGCTGAGGATGGGCTGTTGGGGTAGGTGTGAGGTCCCAGGACTCCTCCCTTGCATCACAGCTGCAAGGGGAGCACCTTCCAGAGTATGGAGATGGCTGCAGGGTCAACCCCGCAGATGCTCTGCTGACAGTGGGAGCCGATTGTGTATATATATATATATACACACACACATATATTAGACCAAGTTTTGCTCTTGTTGCCCAGGCTGGAGTGGAATGGCACTATCTCGGCTCACCGCAACCTCCACCTCCTGGGTTCAAGCGATTCACCTGCCTCAGCCTCCAAAATAGCTGGGATTACGGGCCCGTGCCACCAAGCCTGGCTATTTTATTTTATTTTATTTTAGTTTTTGCATTTTTAGTAGAGACAGGGTTTCACCATATTGGTGAGGCTGATCTCGAACTCCTGACTTCATGATCCACCCGCCTCAGCCTCCCAAAGTATTGGGATTACAGGCGTGAGCCACCACGCCCGGCCTTGAATAGTTTTTTTAATCACACATAAAACTCAAATTATTAAAGGTTCAAGGTGCAAAGTGATTTTTAAGAAGCCCCTATTAAAAACATATTATACTTGTAGTGTGTTCATTCCTCACATCCTTTTGCACCTTTAAAAATAAGCATGCTATCAACCTCTCCTGACCATGATGATATGGAACTAAACAATGATCTGTGTTTTATTCAGAAACTATTAAAGAATGTTGATACAAACTTTGCCTTTAGTGGGTATGATAAAAATGTTTTTCTTCAATAAAATGAATAAAAGCAAAAGTTTTCTTTAAAACTCATCCTATCTTAAGGGTATGAGATTTGGCTATGCTTTTGCTAACCTTTAAAACAGAATATAATCTCAATTCTTTAAAAAGAGAGAAAGAATAAGCTTTTTCAGACTTTGTAAATATTTTACATTATTCAAAAGTAAAACAAAAAATATGTATGTATATATATTACAGTATACACACATGAATTATGCATTCATTGAAAGATTTCTCTGCTACAGAAAAAAATTTGATTTACTATTTTAAAAGAATTTTTATGTTATTTAGCTGAATGTATTTATTTTGTTCCAGGGGCTTTGGTCTTTCTTAGAAATACTAAAAATGAGGCAGGAGAACAAAGAAGACTCCTAATACTTTGATCATTTTACCTTACAGGAATGGAAAAGTAGGCATAAAAAGAATCTAAACTTACATATACAAACTATTTATATTGGTAAATAATATGTATATTACTAAAAGTCAATAGAATTACAAGGGTCAATTTCAAAGTAGCACAATCAGTTAATATTCATAATTATGACAAAATGTATCAATTTCTCTGTCCTGCATTTCCTCAGTGACAACTTGAGTAGCTCAGCAGCCATTCATGGGCAGCAGCAGTTTGATGATGCATTTCAGGCCCCAGCATCATTTAAGGAGCTGATTCATGCCCTAGAAGTAAGGCTCTACCCTCCTTCTTCCAAAACAGATCAACCCTTGGGAACTTGTGGACTAAAAGCATTACACCTTTCTGTCTGGGCGTGATGGCTCATGCCTACAATCCCAGCATTTTGGGAGGCAAAGGCAGGGGGATCACTTGAGGCTTGGAGTTCAAGACCAGCCTGGACAACATGGTGAAATCTGTCTCTACTAAAAATATAAAAAGTTAGCTGTGTATGATGGTATATGCCTGTGGTCCCAGCTACTCAGGAGGCTGCACCACAAGAATTACTTGAATCCAGGAGGCAGAGGTTGCAGTGAGCCGAGATCATGCCACTGCACTCCAGCCTAGGTGACAGAGTGACACTCTGCCTTAAAAAGAAAAAAAAAAAAGAAAAAACTTTACACCTTTCATTCCCAAAGCTTCTGCTTTCTGTTCTCCATACCCATTTAAAACAGGAAATGTATCTCCAAAACTCTATGGGAACCATGACATGATTACAATTGGAAATAAAATGAGGAAATAAGCAGTAGCTCAATAAATAAATAAATATATTTGCAGGATTTTAATGCAGTTCATAAACGCTTTAGAAACAGATTTCAATATTCTCAATATAACAATGTTTTTCTCTTCTCTTGAAATGATTTTATTTTCTGAGATATATTATTGACATTTCTTACTACAGGAAATTTATTCTGCAGGAAAATAAGTAAAAACCAGGGGCACGTACTTTGAAATTTTCCTGGAGGAGCATGGCAGCTTCTGTCTGGCTAAGGCTGTAAGCTTCGGGCGTATCATGGGCAGTGGGGGCTGAGTGGTCATTTCGGACTACAAAAAGAAATAAGTAGAAATTGTATTTTAAATAATAAATCTTTCAAAGGACCTGTTAAGACATTATTAGAGATTCACAGTCTGTCATCTTAGTTGAGAATGTCTATATGTAGTGCTACAGCTGTGTTATTCAAGAATGATACTCAGTGAGTGGATTCTGCAGGTTGCTTCTCTCATTATTTTCTTCTATTGTCTGCTTTTTGGCCAATTTACTAGTTGTCTGTATCTTCACCACAAAGTAAATAAGAAGAAAATTAGATAAATGCATTGGTGGTTCAGTTGCATCTTAGGTAAGAATTTTGTAAGAGACATGATTGCAATTAAAGAATAAAGATTTTTAGGATAGCTATGGATTTCCAATGTTTATGTGTTGCTTTCCTGTTAGAATCAACAATTGAAAATTGCTCATACTTGCTGTTTTGTAAAAGCCTTACCACTCACAAATAAAGGCTTTCCCTTAGATGTGGTAGATGATAAGAACAATTCTCAACAAGGAGACAGCTACCCTGAGAAAGCACACAGCATAACAATATAATGAATCAGTTAAAAATGTACTGGTTTTTAAAAGTTGTTTAAAACAACTTTATCTCTCACACTTTGCATGGGTCAGGAATAAGGACAGGGTATGATAGGCATGAATTTTTTCTCCATGATGACTGAAGCCTCTGCTGAGAAATCCCAGAAGCTATAGTAACACAATGGTAGGGGACAGGAATCACCTTGAAGTGTCTTACCTCACTTTTCTAGTGGTTGATGCTAACTATTAGCTGGGACACAACTGGGGCTATCTGCCAGAACTCATACATATGGTCTACTCATGTGGCATGGTCTTCCTCACATCATGGCAACCTGAGACTTTTTATGTGGCCGCTTCGGGCTCCAAAGGTAAGTATTTTAGAGAAAAGTCAGGCAGAAGCTATATCCCCTTTTAGGGTCTAGCCTTGGAAGTCACACAGCATCCACTTCTACTATAATAAAAAGTTTGCCCAAATTCAATGCAAATTAACATAGAACCCCTATTGATAGGAGAGCATCAAAGTTTCATTGTATGAAGAAAATATGGCATGGGAGATATTGTTGCAACCCTTTTTAGAAAATGCAGCTTACCACAGTGGTGAGCAATTAGAAGGCAAGTCTATAAAATCAAGTTATCTAAATCTTATTCCAAAAAGGAAGAAATGTAGACATGATGTCTTTGAACTTAGAACAGAAAAATTGTTACATGGTGCAAGGGCTCTCAGATGCAAAAGAACCCATGCTTCTGTTAGAGAGGCATCCCAAAGGCCAGAAGCTCCTGACCCCACCCCCTCTATGTCCACCAGGTTTGACCTCTACTCAGACTCACCAAGCAACTAAAAGGCTTATTTTTAGGTTTTAAATGGCTTTAAAACCTAAAATACTACCTGTGTGACCCAGGGAAAATCACAATAAAATCTGGGTCTTGAATACATTCAGCAGATATTTAGTGAGCTCCTACTTGTTGCCAGGTTCTGTTCTAGGTGCCAAAGATACAGCACTGAAGAAAAAGACAAAACTCTCTAATCTCACAGACTTTGCAGTATGGCAGTAAATATGGAGAAAGACAATACACAAATAAGCAAAATATATAGAACCTCAGGTGTTGATCAGATTGTCTACTGGAAAACAAAACAGGGAACTAGAAACTACCCAACTGCTCACCAATGCCAAGGGGATAAATAAAAGCAGAAGGAGATAAGCTCAAAGACATTACGGAGAATTTTGTTGGGTGTCCCAGCAGTGTAATATCTTGAGGGTTATGGTAAAAATCGGCTTTTATTCTCATTGAGGTAAGAATCCATTGGAGGATACAGAGCATAGAGTTGACACAATCTGACTTTCACCCTGAAAGGATCACTCTGACTTATTTTTTCAGGTTAGGCTGTAGTGGTGAAAAGTGTAGAAAGCAGAGGGGCCAGTTCAAAGCCTCCTGTGAAATACAGAGGAGAGAGGGTGGTGGCTTAGGTAGGAGTAGAGGAGGAGAGATGTAGTCAAACCTGAGATGGAGGCACCTGTGGATGGCTGAGACACAGTATTCCTCTAGTGCTACAAAGCCATGGTGGGGGACGGGTGGGAAGGCACTAAGACAAGAGAAAGTCTTCTGAAATTCATTGTAGAAATAGACAGCTTTGTGTTTCTGAAAAAGATTATTACCCTGGCCTAAAAATAATTGTTTATATAATTAAAGAGAATTCTAATGCATATCAGTGGTTTATTTTAGATATAATAGAATCCTAGTACTACCAGTTTATCAAGGTGTGATATGATCTATGAAGCATAATGCCCACTTTATTTTTATGCAGTTATAGCTTTAAAGTGCACAATCTAAACAGCAAATGTTAGTCTTCTCCTACAGACTAAACATTAGAAACATATTATATTACCCTTCATAACTTTATAACATGATGACATTTTATTAAATTTTAAAAATCGATTTTTCTGGTTAGGTATTATATTAATTAGTTGAGTTACTAGAATAGCGAGAACTTGCTAAATGGCAACATCATGCAGAGCCTACGGTAAGCAGTTACGGCTCATGTGAGCTTTGAAGGGACACCAAAGCTCCCCACATGGGCCTCCCATAAGCTTACTTCAGAGGAGCTATGAAGACTGTTCCATAGTTCCAGCATCTTCCAGTGTTACAGTGAACATCTGAATCATCTAAGTTCTTAACCCAGACCTGTGTAGCCCTAGTAAATTTCAAAAGGGAGAGAGGAAAACAACAACCAAGTTTGCCCCATTTGGGGCATTCCACCCTCTATAAATTTTAGACTCTTTTCTGAAAGGCCCACTTTGCTTGACAAAGCATTAGGCAGCGGGCACTGGGGCCAGGGTAATCTCTTCATACTTGCAGGGGTCTTTGAAGAGTTTACCAAGGAGCTGCAAAATGAGGAACAGTGCTTGCAATTTCCTTGAATACTAAGAATACCCAGCTATTTGTAGACAGATAAAAGGGAGCAGCCCCTAGAGGTGCTGATCCAGCCAACATAGTCCACCCAGGTGTGTATAACTCTCCACCGAAGTTGGCATACCAGCATATTATATAAAATTTATCCTTTTTGATGTTTACTTGATTTAGATGATTTTTGTTAGAAAAATGTAAGCATCTAATAGAAACCAAATGCAAAAGACATACATGGAGAGGGATAAGTCTTTGTCATACAGATCAATTGCAATCTTTTTTTTTTTTTTTTTCAAATTCTGAGTCAACGTTCCTACCATTAAAATTTCAGCTGCCAGTTCCTTCATTTTGCTCTCCTCTGATCTGAGAACATTAGCAGCAGGAGCACCTTTACTCTAAAATTTAATTTAATGTAAGTACTGTAAGCCCTGCTGGCAAGCCTCAAGGCACAAACTCTGAATGGGGGGTGGTCAGAGCTGAATGATAAAGTGGAAAAAAAGTTATCAGAGCTGAATGATAAAGGGGGAAAAAAAGCATGTTGAAAAAAATATCTCTCAATCAATCTATGTTGGAAAGTTTAAGCTTAGAATGAGGACGGAAGTTGAACAGGTTTTCTCTTTGCTTCTAAACCCAACATCCTACCTTGCCTATGCCTATCGGGAAAGTGAATTTTGTTTCTCAGAATCAATACATGGCCACATAACGTATTTTGTTTTACACAACAGATAATGTGTGATCTGACTGATTTTTTTTTTTTTTTTTGAGACAGTTTTGCTCATGTTACCCAGGCTGGAGTGCAATGGTGCGATCTCGGCTCACTGCAACCTCCGCCTCCTGGTTCAGGCAATTCTCCTGCCTCAGCCTCCTCAGTAGCTGGGATTACAGGCAAGCACCACCATGCCCAGCTAATTTTTTGTATTTTTAGTAGCGATGGGGTTTCACCATGTTGACCAGGATGGTCTCGATCTCTTGACCACGTGATCCACCCGCCTCTGCATCCCAAAGTGCTGGGATTACAGGTGTGAGCCACCGTGCCCAGTCCGATCTGAATTTTATGACATAGATAATATTTTGAATGCACCAAATATTTAAAGGGATACTGCAACAAATTACTTTCTAAGTAATCACCATATTTTATGCTTTATCAGTTCAAGAAGGGTTTGCAGTACTTACATTAAATTAAATATCTGTAAAGAAAGCCTTTTGGTCTTTGTTAATATGAGTTGCATCATTTTCTTGGTGTTGGTCAGACAGCATTCTCAGTTCCCGTGTGAGCTCCAACCTAGACTCAACAATGAAGAACGGGACTAGTGCTATGATGACTGACCCAGGCCTGTAGCACAAATGGAGCACATCACCACTAGTTATGGCACCTCATTAGGGTTCTCCAAGATCAATATCTCAGAGGAAAACACACAAGATGGGTGTGACTGCAGGAAGGGAAATTGTTCACGTTTGGGTGAGTACAGAAGAAGAATGAAAAATACCTCTTTGGCTGGCACCAAAATGAGTTTAGCCCCAGAAGCCCAGGCTGAAGCAGCCTGTTAGGAGGACCCAGAGGCAGCTCCTCCAGTGCCAGCAAGTGAGCAGTGTTACAGTGTGGCACCACCGGGTGCCGAGACAAAGATCAAAAGGCCGCCTGAAGCCATTCCACTGTTGGTATTCAGAAGAGATTTGGTGCACTCTTTGATCTGCTGGTTGGTTCTTGTATCACAGTTACAATCTCTAAGTTTGGCCCCCACATGCAAAGACAAATGAGAATGGAGAAATACAGGATGAAAGGTTTGAGAGTGCTAGGTCATGCTGAATGTGTCCCATGGTGTGAGTTTAAATTTTTGGCCCCCAAGTAAAATTCTTCAAAGAGTTACCCTCCTGCCCTCTATCCCCAGAGATGCCTTTGTCAGGAAACACAAAGGAGGGAGGCCTGCTACTGCATAAATGGAGGCTACTTGGAGAATGACTATGTCTGAAGCTGACCAGTATCTCCAGGGTTCAGTCACTTTGGAGTAAAAACTGAGATGAGAGAAATAAAGCCAGTAAACCACTGTAAGCAAGTTTATTATACATCATCAGAAGAGTTCAAAACAGTAGGATTTTACTAAAAATCATTCATAAGAATTAAAACTTTCCATATTATCACAAGCTCTGTTACTATAAAAGTTTAAAGAAAAGTACAGGAGAAATATCACTAATTACGCTCCCTAAGAAAGTTAAAAAATTTGACATAATTAAGTTTATAAAGAGTCACTAAATAATGTTTTATTCCTGGTATAGTAATTTTGGGGCACCTCTGGCACTCTCTCATGGGTAATTAGATAGGCTGTCAAATTAAATAGAAAACACATTTCCTACCAACTGACTTTGATGGTTAAATCACAAAATAAAGCAGGAAAGAGTTTGAAGGCAAGTCATATTTCACTTGACTTACATTTACAGATTACTGCTGATGGTCTCTCCAGGCTTATAGACTTCAGCCTGAAAATCAGGAAGCAAGGAATAACAGCAAAGAAGAAAAGTTTAAAATCAGTCAGTAGTATAACTCCTCTCCCCACCCCAAGTCATGGAACAAGATTCACTTTTACAACAAATACTAAGTTCCTACTATCTAAGTTTAGATGCACTTTTAAAGAAAATCTCCACATATATATAGATCCTATGAGAGAAACTAATCACTATATCAGTGAAATGCCAAAACATCGGAAATATGTATATGTATTGATGTATTTCAACACAAAGTGACATTAGGAATAAGCATTTGTTTGTTCTCTCAAATTTACGAGATAGAGTTACCTTTGCCAAAAAACGAGAACATCTCAGTTCCCTTTCTGTTCCCACCTAGTTCTCAACAGGACTCAAGGACTTATTCCTACTCCTATTTTTTCACTGCTCTCAGAGAGTCAGGTGAACTGGGGAGCAAGAGGAACTGGTGCCTTTCCCTACTTCTCTTTCCATTCGTTTCTTGAGGTAAGTGGCGAGGGCCTGGACTCAGGAAGCTTGATAAAGACTAATGGAGGAAGGTCTGTAGGGGTCGGGGAAGAGGCTGCCTGAAGAACGGCCCGCCTCTACAAGGAGCTGAGGAAGTGCTGCCCCAGCCTCGCCTCTGCCGTCACGAACCTTGGTGCATTGGCCCAGGTGAACAACTCCAGTTTTCTGTTCCGCCGAAGTAAGTCCCCCACCGGCGGCAGGTGCTGGGCGCAGGCGCTGCCCCCTCCTCTCGCTAGATTCTGAGTCCTGGCTCCGCCTAAGCCGGGAGAGGGGACGCCGAGAGCGTCTCCAGGGAAACAGAGCGGCGTGGCGGGGCGGCCGGGGGTGGGGTTAGGCTAAACCGGGGCTAGGGATTGGGGCAGCTCCCAGACGCTTAGGGTTTGGGGGCGGAGCCTGGCGAGGTGGAGCTTACTGATGGCCGCGCGGGGCTTCCAGAGAGCGGAGGCTTTTCAAGCAGGGCTGCTTTCAGAAGTTAGCTCACTTTTAGGCATTTTCTCGTAACCCAAGGGGCTCGAATTTGCCACTTTCATTTCTTTCGTGGCCTTGCATTCTCAGTGTTTTTCATCATTCCCCTTTTGTCCACAGGATTGATGGGAAAAGGCTGAGCTTGGCATTCATGAGCCCGTGACCTGAAGCCACTTTATCCATCTAGCTAAGTCATTCATTCTCCTCTTCCTCAGCCTATGTTGCAGTCAGAACACACACAAATGCCTTTTTCTGTCCTGTCCCCAGAGACAATTCAATTTTGGATTGTGGTTCGTTAAATACTCAAGTCTCTTTCAGAGAATCTCCCTGCATCTGTCCTTATTTTCTTTTGAATTTTTACCTGAAACTCAAGGTTTTATATTTACACTAAATAAATATCATCGTGTTAATTCGGCCCAGCATTCCACTTCTTCTCTCAGACATGAGTGCAAGGAAGTGAGCCTCCCTGCTCATTCCCTCATACATATATGGGGCAAAAAAGTGAGGCTTGCCACTTGATGCTTCTAAAATACAGACGTACTGGAAAGTTAGGCTTTCGTACCTTGTCAACTGTCACACATTGTAGGCGAGTGAGCCAGCAATATTGCTCACACGAATCATTCTATTAACCATAAATCGATTCTATTTGGAGTACAAGCATATCAACCATAACCACGCTTTCATTCTAATATCTAATTTGCTGTAACAAATTACTAAATTATTTCCAAGCAAGTTTACATTATACATTCAATGATCACTGTGAATATATGTGACTGGGCTCTACCCCATCCCCCACATCAGTAAGACTCTCATTCTCTTCTCATCAGTTCATTTTCCAGGTTCAATACCACCTTAACACACTCCACTGTGACCTGTGTAAATTTTCTTTTTCTTGGAGACAAAGTCTCGCTCTGTTGCCCAGGCTGGAGTGCAGTGGCACAATCTCAGCTCACTGCAACCTCCGCCTCCTGGGTTCAAACAATTCTCCTGCCTCAGCCTCCTGAGTAGCTGGGACTACAGGCACCCACCACCATGCCCGGCTAATTTTTGTACTTTTAGTAGAAACAGGATTTCATCGTGTTGACCAGGCTGGTCTCGATCTCCTGACCTCATGATCCACCCACCTCAGGCTCCCAAAGTGCTGGGATTAGTCCTTGCCGCTTTTTCTGACTTTGAGCTTTGTGAATTCCGTGCACCTTCCTTTCTCACAGGAGATTGTCTTTGTTGGCTTTCTAGGTAGTTCCTGCTTGCCTCTTTGGACTTATTTCTCCTACTTGCGGTTTTTTCACTGGAAGTTCTTTGACTAATTCTTTTTTTCCTTCTGTTTAGCATAAAATTCCTTGTTAGAGACTTTGTTTGCAAGTGACAGAAAACTCAAACTGACAAGCAAAAAAGGAAACTGATGACAACCAAAGGATGCCAGATTCAGGTACAGCCTTATCTAGAGACTCAGGCCTTTCTGAAAGCTTTGAGAATTACAGAATACCCCAACCTTTTACTACACAGAATCAATCTCTCCTCCTCTCGCCTCCTCTCTCTTAGACCTATCTTTATTTTATCAGTATAACTTTGCATGGTGTTTGGCTTATGGGAACCAAACTCGCCTGAAAGATTGTGAGCACTTTGAAAGCACAGAGTTTGCCTTATTGATTTCCGAATTTATTTCTGAATTCCCTGAAATAATACAAGGATTAATATTACAGTATGTACCCAAAAATATTTTTCGAATTAACTGAATGAATGACAGAACAGACAGGTTTCTCAAACACATTCTTCCTTGTGTAATTCTTCTCATTGCTTCCTCAACCTTCCCCACCTAGAATTCCAGGGGGGAAGGTCAGGTGATACAATTGATAGTTTAATACTACTATTGACATAACAACCTCTACAGTGTCCTCTTCTATTCTTGCTCTGGACAAATGATTTTAGTTTAGGTCAGCTCCCTAAAGAAGCAAGAGATAATTTTCTAGTGGAAGCCAATTTATCTTAACTGCTCCCCATAATTGTTCTCACAGTGGTTTTGATATCTCAATTATCAGTTTCTATATTAAAATTATTCTGAATCATTCTTGTTTTACTCATGTATTTTACCAAATACATCCCCAAGTAACATGTTAGGAAAGAACATATGAGATAAAATTTTAAGTTCTTTCATGTCTGACAACATCCTTATTTTGCCTATGGTCATTTGGTAGGGTTGCACATTCTGGATTAACAATAATTTCCCTCTGAATTTAGAAGCTATTATAATTTTCACTGTTTTCTAGTAGCATCCAGTGTTAAGGATGAAAAGTCTAGTGGCAATTTTATTTTCCTTCCTTTCTGTGTGATGTAGTAGTAGTACGATCCATATGTAGTGACAACCGCAAATCTGTGTGGCCTATAACAACAAAGTTTATGTACTGACTACCGTACCTCACCATCACAAGTCAGCCTTGGGTTTTGCTCCATGCTATGTCACAACAGAATCAATATGAGAGAACCTCTGCCATGTGGAGGATGGCTGGTCTGTAGCAGAGCGAAGATCATGAGAGTAAACTGTACATTAGCTTTAAAAGCTTCATCCAAAAGGATATCCATCACTTTCACATTTCGTTGGCCACAACTGAAATAGCCAGGCTCAACTTTAAGAAAGCAGGTATCTGCAATTTCACCTTGTCTGAAAGACCAGATATCCATTAATGGTCATAATGACTGTCCTAGCCCTGGTTTTTCCCCTCAACACAGGCATTTTTCTATTACTTTCTTTATCTTCTTTGTTCTAGAATTTTATGGTAGAACTCTTCAGCTGAGTTCTCACATCTTTCTTCAGATTTAGATAATTGTCTTCTATTTTTTAAATTATAATTTCCTTGTCTTGAATTTCTTCTATTATTACTTTTTAAGATTCTGTTCAGTAAATACAGATCCCTAGATTTATCTTTTTTATCATTGATCTTTTAAAAAAGATTTTCATTCTTTTTGTCTTTTTATTCTAAAGTCTGTTTTTGACAATATTGCCATTTAGTCTATTTTTTTTTGTGCATAGGAGGAGTCACATTCTTAGTCTTTTAGAGCTCTTGCTTTCTGATTACTCCTTTTTTATAGACCCTTCTTTTATGAATGTGATGTTTTGCAATTATCTCTGAATATATTAATTTTTTTAAAGCTGTCTTTTTATTTTTAATTTTTGTGGCTACACAGTAGGTGTATATGTTTATGCAATACATTATTTTGATATAGGTATACAATATGTAATAATCACATCAGAGTAAATGGGGTACATCACCTCCAGCATTTATCCTTTCTGTAACCGACAATCCAATTATACTCTTACTTATTTTTAAATGTACAATTAAATTATGATTGACTGCAGTCACTCTGTTGTGCTCTCAAATACTAGATCTCATTCATTCTTACTAACTATATTTTTGTATCCCTTAACCATTCCCACTTTCACCCCTACCCTTCACTACCTATCCCAGCCTCTGGTAATCATTCTTCTATTCTCTATGTCCAGGAGTTCAATTGTTTCAATTTTGAGTTCCCACAAATAAGTGAGAACATGTGAAGTTTATCTTTCTGTGCCTGGCTTCTTTCATTTAACGTAATGACCTCCAGTTCTATCCACGTCGATGCTAATGACGGAATCTCTCTCGTTTTTTTAAATGATGGAATAGTACTTCAAAAGTTGCCTTTTTTTGGTTAAATTATATTTTCTTCCAGGAAAAGTGTTTCTTTTGTTAATGTTGAAATTTCTCTATTATGTACCTTAGTGTCTTTGGTTGCTCTACCAATTAGCATTAGATTCAGCTGTGCAGCTGTGAGTGACAAACTACATGAATAGGAATGGCACTCCATGGTGTCAGATTCCTAGTTCCTTCTGTTTTTGTTTTTGTTTTGAGATGTAGTCTCACACTGTCGCCCAGGCTGGAGTGTAGTGGCATGATCTCTGCTCACTGCCACCTCTGCTTCCTGGGTTCAAGTGATTCTCCTGCCTCAGCATTCCAAGTAGCTGGGATTACAGGTGCTTGCCACCATGCCCAGCTATTTTTTTTTTTGTATTTTTAATAGAGATGGCATTTCACTACGTTGGCCAGGCTGGTCTTGAACTCTTGATCTCATGATCCACCCACATTGGCCTCCCAAAGTGCTGGAATTGCAGTGTTCCTTCTGCTTTTAGCTTCACTGCACATGGATGCCATTCCCAAGATTGTCTCATTGGTGATCCAGCTATTACACCTGCATTTTATCCAAGAAAGCCTACATAGGGATGAGGGGGTCAAATGGGGAACCTAGTGTTGAAATTTTTATCAAGGGAAATTGGGCTATCTAGGCATATTCAGAGAAGACTGCATAGCCTAAAGTGCTAAGCCCCTATTAAACATTTTCCACTGAGGCATCTTTCTTCAGAAAATTCCCCTTTCTTGACTGATATAGCTGTTCTTTCCTTGCTTGAAGATACTGTTACTTCTTTGCCTAAGGTTGTTCTCTTGAAGAAAAAATAATAAATTTTTATTTACCCAACCTATCCAGATCTACAATTAGAAGTGAATTCCATCATGTCCTAGGAGACAACATTTTAAATATGCGGATCTGAAAAGCTTCTTGTAAACACACACACACACACATACACACACACACACACACACACACGCCCAGAGAGAGAGAGAGAGAGAGAGAGAGAGAGAGTGAGAATTTGCTAGTTTATGTCAGTAAAACTCTAGGAACATTGTTTTCTTACAGAACAGATTTTTGAGAATTCTTCAACAAAAAGTTTGGAATACAATATTAGAAAAAATAAATTTGTCAAATGAGTGCATTTTCCAGAGATTCTAAATT